CTAATGAGGCTCCTGACAGGTCGGCTGCTTTATGAAGCTCGTTTGGATCACCGGGGCAATGAATTCAACTCATCTGACCATATCAAACACATCATACAATCCACACCAAGAAGTCATGAATCAGCTGAAAGAACCAGCCATCATTCATTAGCGTGCAGCTTCGTTTGGCAGACGGACAGCAATTACACCAGCTCTGCTGTCAGACTTCAGCTTGGAGAATACTTGGTGTAACAGCATGAACCAGAATGATGTTTGATGTCTGATTATTGAAGCCCGTTTACACCACAAAATTAAAAATAGTTATAATAATAATAAAATCACAATTCAGACTTCTTGCAATTCTTATATATAAACGCGCAATTACTTGAGCTTCACATCTCACAATTTTCATTTTTTATAATCTAAACCCTAACACTCACTCACTCACACACACACACGCTCACACACACAAACACACACTCACACTCACTCACACACACACACACACTCTCACACACACTCACTCTCACACACACACTCTCACACACACTCACTCTCACACACACACTCTCACACACACTCACTCTCACACACACACTCTCACACACACTCACTCTCACACACACACTCTCACACACACTCACTCTCACACACACACTCTCACACACACTCACTCTCACACACACACTCTCACACACACTCACTCTCACACACACACTCTCACACACACTCACTCTCACACACACACTCTCACACACACTCACTCTCACACACACACTCTCACACACACTCACTCTCACACACACACTCTCACACACACTCACTCTCACACACACACTCTCACACACACTCACTCTCACACACACACTCTCACACACACTCACTCTCACACACACACTCTCACACACACTCACTCTCACACACACACTCTCACACACACTCACTCTCACACACACACTCTCACACACACTCACTCTCACACACACACTCTCACACACACTCACTCTCACACACACACTCTCACACACACTCACTCTCACACACACACTCTCACACACACTCACTCTCACACACACACTCTCACACACACTCACTCTCACACACACACTCTCACACACACTCACTCTCACACACACACTCTCACACACACTCACTCTCACACACACACTCTCACACACACTCACTCTCACACACACACTCTCACACACACTCACTCTCACACACACACTCTCACACACACTCACTCTCACACACACACTCTCACACACACTCACTCTCACACACACACTCTCACACACACTCACTCTCACACACACACTCTCACACACACTCACTCTCACACACACACTCTCACACACACTCACTCTCACACACACACTCTCACACACACTCACTCTCACACACACACTCTCACACACACTCACTCTCACACACACACTCTCACACACACTCACTCTCACACACACACTCTCACACACACTCACTCTCACACACACACTCTCACACACACTCACTCTCACACACACACTCTCACACACACTCACTCTCACACACACACTCTCACACACACTCACTCTCACACACACACTCTCACACACACTCACTCTCACACACACACTCTCACACACACTCACTCTCACACACACACTCTCACACACACTCACTCTCACACACACACTCTCACACACACTCACTCTCACACACACACTCTCACACACACTCACTCTCACACACACACTCTCACACACACTCACTCTCACACACACACTCTCACACACACTCACTCTCACACACACACTCTCACACACACTCACTCTCACACACACACTCTCACACACACTCACTCTCACACACACACTCTCACACACACTCACTCTCACACACACACTCTCACACACACTCACTCTCACACACACACTCTCACACACACTCACTCTCACACACACACTCTCACACACACTCACTCTCACACACACACTCTCACACACACTCACTCTCACACACACACTCTCACACACACTCACTCTCACACACACACTCTCACACACACTCACTCTCACACACACACTCTCACACACACTCACTCTCACACACACACTCTCACACACACTCACTCTCACACACACACTCTCACACACACTCACTCTCACACACACACTCTCACACACACTCACTCTCACACACACACTCTCACACACACTCACTCTCACACACACACTCTCACACACACTCACTCTCACACACACACTCTCACACACACTCACTCTCACACACACACTCTCACACACACTCACTCTCACACACACACTCTCACACACACTCACTCTCACACACACACTCTCACACACACTCACTCTCACACACACACTCTCACACACACTCACTCTCACACACACACTCTCACACACACTCACTCTCACACACACACTCTCACACACACTCACTCTCACACACACACTCTCACACACACTCACTCTCACACACACACTCTCACACACACTCACTCTCACACACACACTCTCACACACACTCACTCTCACACACACACTCTCACACACACTCACTCTCACACACACACTCTCACACACACTCACTCTCACACACACACTCTCACACACACTCACTCTCACACACACACTCTCACACACACTCACTCTCACACACACACTCTCACACACACTCACTCTCACACACACACTCTCACACACACTCACTCTCACACACACACTCTCACACACACTCACTCTCACACACACACTCTCACACACACTCACTCTCACACACACACTCTCACACACACTCACTCTCACACACACACTCTCACACACACTCACTCTCACACACACACTCTCACACACACTCACTCTCACACACACACTCTCACACACACTCACTCTCACACACACACTCTCACACACACTCACTCTCACACACACACTCTCACACACACTCACTCTCACACACACACTCTCACACACACTCACTCTCACACACACACTCTCACACACACTCACTCTCACACACACACTCTCACACACACTCACTCTCACACACACACTCTCACACACACTCACTCTCACACACACACTCTCACACACACTCACTCTCACACACACACTCTCACACACACTCACTCTCACACACACACTCTCACACACACTCACTCTCACACACACACTCTCACACACACTCACTCTCACACACACACTCTCACACACACTCACTCTCACACACACACTCTCACACACACTCACTCTCACACACACACTCTCACACACACTCACTCTCACACACACACTCTCACACACACTCACTCTCACACACACACTCTCACACACACTCACTCTCACACACACACTCTCACACACACTCACTCTCACACACACACTCTCACACACACTCACTCTCACACACACACTCTCACACACACTCACTCTCACACACACACTCTCACACACACTCACTCTCACACACACACTCTCACACACACTCACTCTCACACACACACTCTCACACACACTCACTCTCACACACACACTCTCACACACACTCACTCTCACACACACACTCTCACACACACTCACTCTCACACATACACACGCTCACACACACACACACACACAGACACACACACACACACACACACTCACTCTCACACCACGCTCACACACACTCACTTTTTTATTGTTTGGTTGTAATTTTAGTTCAAGTTTACATTTTAATGTTTTGTCATTTTATTAGCTTTTGTGTTTAGAAAATGTGTATATTTTTATTATAATTTTTTTAGTTATTTTAGTACATCAAGTTAAACTAAATCGAACTAAACTTAAAACGAGAAATTTTGCCTTGAAACTAGCTAAAAAATATATATTTTTATTTTATTTTTTATTATTTCAGTTAAGGTTTATTTTATTTCAGGTGATGCTTTTTATAGTTATAAAAACCATATATGATTTAAGCATTTGTTAATCCCTTATACTGTGATGTATCAATTTTATAACCATTGTGTTCATATGTGTGAATAGCTTTTGTGTTAAACGAGTGTCAGGTTGAACAGAAATGAGCCAGCTCACAGTATCTGGTGAATGATGGTGGATGGGCTGATGAACGCGAGCGATCAGTGATGACGGATGAAGGAACGCTGAGCTTTGCTCATCAGTCTCTGGTTAATGCGTTTGTGACGTCGACTGTCATTACAGCAAATCACACATTCAATCAGAAGCACACAAACTCTTGGTCTTCGTGGACAAACAGCGGCTTCTGACTGAATCATTCAATCATGAAACCGTATATCAATGTTACACTCTATAATATAATAGCGTCCATTAAGTCTTTAACAAATAGTGCGACTTTCTGTAATGCATCACAGATCATATTCATTCAAATATTTATAAATATCATTAATGATTCACTAGCAATTTATATTCTTTTGCATATATTTGAATCTAATATATCTTAGAAATGAACTACTATTATGTTGTTTTACAAATTAATGTTTTATATATATATGAACATAAATATATGGTACTTACTTGAAATAAAATAAAATATAAAAAACATATTTTATTTCAGCTACTTGCCAAGGAAGCATTTTTCATTTTCATTTAGGTTAACTTAATGTACTAAAATAACTACAAATAAAACTGAAATAAACAGTAATAAAAGCTACATAGACATATTTAAAAAAAAAACAGCAAGAGCTAATAAAAATGGCAAAACACACAACACAATTACTAAAACTTTAACTTTACATATTTTAAAATATGAAATAGATGTCAGATATGGGTGCTTATTTTCGCCATAGGATAAAAAATTATTGTGAGATAAATTTTTAAACGTGTGTGTGTGTGTGTATGTGTGTGTGTGTGAGTGAGAAACAATTGTTTACAAATATATAAACAATTGTGTATTGGACACAAAGCATTCTATTTTAAAGAACAAAAGATGAAAGTCTGTTGAAGTAAAACATAAGATCATATTTGTGAATATAATCTTTTATTTACTCTAGAATGATGCAAGAAATGTACACATTTTTATCTCAAGGTATAAAATTTTTTTCTTAAATAAGCATTTTTCATTCATACGTTTGCAGATGCATTAATCATTTGTCACAAACCCTGACAAATGGAGAGCAACGACACCAAACGAAAGTAAAAAGAGTTTGCGATACAAACCCAGCGACGGTGACCTGATTTGAGGCGAGGAAGTATTGCTCTGTGTTTGCCGTATAAAAGCCGAGTTCTCTGTCTTCTGTCTGACACAAAATAAGCATTGTTCTCAATTATATAAAGATATGTACATCAAAATATACGCTCTAGTTGAAAAAGGCCTTGGTTGAAGCTATTGGTAAAGGGTTATTGAACGTGTGCCGCTGACGCAGACTGATGACATCATATGCAGGCGTCCACGGCGGGCGGAGCGGGACTCCAGTGCACTGACAAACCTGCGAAATAAAGCACAACATCAGGCTTTCAGAAAATGTTAAAATGCAGAAGGTCTTCTGTGAGGGTTGGGTTTAGGGTTACGGGATAGAAAATACAGTTTGTACAGTATAAAAAACATTACACCTATGGGAAGTCTCCATAAAACATTGAAGTGTGTGTGTGTGTGTGTGTGTGTGTGAGAGAGAGAGAGGGAGA